ATTAAAGTAGAAATTAAGCAAATTTTAATTGAGATTATATATTATGAGTTTTACTGATTACTCTGTTATATGTTTTTTAATACTTTTTATACTAATATATATACTTGTATATGTATTAGATCTTTTTCTTATTAAATATTTTTTGTCATGAGATGTTTTGATAAAGCTATTTTAAAATCTTATTTATATTAGATATAAGTCATACTTCTTTTATTTTATATATTTGATTCTTTTGAATAAGTTCTTTATATTGTTGATTAAAAGTTGTGAATCTATATAAATAATTATTTGTTTGTTATATCTAGCTATAGTTACTATGATAGTTTCTATCAAGATTTCTGCTTTGAATATTAATACTTGACTATAAATTTTGAGATTTAAACTGAATACTATTTTATTTTTATTAGCAAAAACTATATTAACTTCCATAAGTTGTTAATTTATTGTTATATTATATGCTCTATTTATATAGATCAAGATGATTGAAGTATTGTATAATACCTTGATAAGTTTATTATACTTGCTAGTTGTTATACTATTTATCATAAATAATTGTTTCAAGAGACGAATATTTGCTTGTTACTTGAAAACTTCTATTACTTCTATCTTTTCATTAGGCATGTTTTATCATCTCTTCATGTTTCCAAATAAAATTTGTAAATGCTATATTTAATAACCAGCTATAAGATTATTGAATCAATTGAAGATTGATATTTTGATTACTGGGATGGTTATTGAGTTATCTCTCAAGATTCCTATATAACAGTTGTTATCTCTTTTATCCTTAATAATTATTAAATTATATACTTTATATAATTCTACTGATGATGAGTTTGTTTAATTGTAACATCTAATATTGATTTCATACTCTATATTTTTGACTTTTTTTTCTATAATTCTTTGATCATTTGATTTGGTAGTAAATCAAATCATATTGTTTTAATAGTTTCTGATTATTTGAATTTAAATACTTTCCATATTAATTGTTTCTTGTTACAGTGTTTTGTTTATTGAGACTCTGAGCTTCTTGTACTAAGTAGATTCCTTTCTTTTGTTTAATTTATTATTGTTTATTTGATACCAATTGATTATATTTGTTTAAAAAATATCAAGAATTTGATTTATATATAATATTCTATTTGTTTTGAGTTGATATCAGTATTTGTCAACTCATTTTGGATTGATAAAGAGTTTAATATAAATTTTTTTTGATATACTACTATTATGTCTTTAAAACTTGAATTGTTCTAAGATTATTCTATAAACAGTTGTGTTTAGATTTATGAATTTTTGAAAATTCTTTCAGAATGCTCTTCTCTTGTTATATCAATTATTGCAATTGATTGATTATGAGTTTTGTGACTCTTCTTACAATATTGTTATTGTAATAAAGTTTTTGCAGATTTTCTGTAAACTTCTAATATAGCCTTGAATACATTTTTATGATATTGTATATTGTATTTAGGTATATTATAAAACTATGGATATTAATACTAGCTTGATTTTATATCAAAAGTTTTGTCTAATTAAAATATTTATTTTGTTTATTTTGCTTTTATTAATATTGTATCTTATGTCAAGTATTCAATTTGTGGGTAAAGGATATTATTTATGATATATTTATTATTAATCTATTTAATAACCTTCAAATCAGATAAATAGACAGGACAACTATAGCAATAATCCACTTTAAATTAAGAGAGAATACCTCAATTATAGTATACTAAAGTTGATACTTTAAGGATAGTAGAGATTATACAGATACATTTAAAGAGGCTTTATGTGATTTGATTTAGTTAGAAAGTTTATTAGAGATATATAATATTAAGGATAAGAAAATTCAATAGATAAAACCTTAGATCAACTGCTTTGGACAGTTGATATTTATATCATAATTGAATATTAATATTTAGTAACCAAAGTGACCAAATCTGCCAAATTTACCAAATCAGGCCAATATGCAGATCTGCTTACTTGAGTAACCTACCAATTAAATATAGATAAAATATAATAATTGAATAAAGAAATTAAATAATGCACGTTACACCAATCACTATTTTGCACTAATGATTGAATCTATTCTAGAAATCAATGAGACATATCTTGTATTACATGTGTCACATAATCTATAAATAGAACTAAAGTAATATGATAAATAAAAACTATAGATAATAACTAAAGAGAAATATACAATAACTATTAATTAAGGCTAATACTATGCATTTTTTTTGTTATATCCTTTCAGTTGATAATTAATCAAGTGCTATTGATATATTTTACCAGATTTATATAAACAAATACAATATATTATATGGAAACAACAAGAAGAAACAATAGAATACTTATTAAAGTCTTCTATTTATAAAGATCAATTGTAAGAGATTTGAAACAAAAGAATAAGGATAACTCTAAAAGAATTTAAAAAACTTTTTTCGAAAATGAGCCAAAAGAAAAAAACATATAATTAATCATAAAAGAGAAGAAAGAAATAAGAGAATTAGATATAAAAATAATCAAGCTAGTAGAATAAACTTTATAAACTAATTAAAAAATATTTAATTTCTACATAGATTTAATAAGAAGAGATCTACTAAAAGAAATAGTAGAACTAAAGTATCAAGGAAAACAAATTAAAAAAGTAGCCAAAAAATGGATAACAAAAATACAAAGAAAGGTTTACAATTACATCTGAAAGAAGATTTAGAACTTGAGATATGAGAAAATAATTAAATGAAAAAAAGTTTAAGAAATTAGTAGAAAAAAATAAAATAAAAAGATTATCAAATTTATCAGTCAAGAAAATCAGAGCTATAAAAATCAAAGTAATAGAATATAAAAAAAAAAGTTTAAAAAAAAATTTTTAATGAAGATTTTAATAAAAGAAGTATAAATTGTTGGGTTTTGATTACTGTTAAAACTTATTGAGTGATTTGCAATAATGGCATGTAGATAATAAAGTTGATAGTTAAAAGTGATTTTATCTAAATTATTAATAAACAATAAATCACTTTCAAATTAATTTAAAGTTAAGTTAATGAAGATAAGTAAATTAATTAAAGTTTAACTTTAGCAATATACAGTATAATATATATACAATTTACAAATTATTTAATAAAGCACATATGACTAACCTAACATAGAGTTAAAAAAAAAAGTACCAAGTTTTTAGTAAATAAAAAAAACTATTATTTATTTAAATTAAAATCTTTCTATTTATTATTTTAATTAAGTAAAATTCAAGATTAAGATATCTTTCTTATTTAGTTAGTTAAATAATAAGACTTAATTATTTTTAATTTATATTAAATTTCCATTTATTGATCATAGTTAAAAATATATTCTCTTAAAAATTAATAAAGAATATTATAATTGATAGAATTTTATTTCTTTATACTATTATAAAATAATAAAAGATATTTACCAGTAAAATTTCTTTAATTAAGTATAGTTGTTGAAAAATATTATATTGAAACAACATAACCTAATTCTTATTGTGATTATATAAAAATCTAAAAATCTATTATAAGTAAGTTATTTATTTTCTATTACCTAAATATAAAATTGTTATTTAAAAAAAGTTAAAATCAAATATATTTTTAGAAATAAAGTTTTTTACTAAATAATTGATTTTTTTAAATAATATACAAAAAAGAAATCAAATTAAAAATAGATAAGTTTTTTAAATAATTAAAAAAAAAAAAGATATTTCAATAAAATATTTTTTATTAAGAAGAAATTTGAAAAGTGAATTTTTAAATAAAGCTAAAAATTTTTATTTTGTTTTTTTTTTTTTTATAATATAATTGTATATTATTAAATATTCTTTTTTTTTGTTTCAACCTATTTTTTGTAGTTTTTTGTATTTCAATAATTTAATAGAATATATAAAAATAATAATATATTAGCAGTGATATATAAATTAAAAAATTTTTATTCAAAATTTATTATGAAATAAAACATTGTTTCCAAAATTAAATTTAAAGACTATTATTGTTTACAATAAATTAATTAGATTGTTTTATAATATGAAAATTTGATTATAATATATATCATACTGTTCAAATAATATATTCATGTTTTTTAATTGATTATTAAATTATAATTTAATTTGGTTATTGACATTACAAAAAAAAAACAAACTATTGATTAAATAATAAAATATTCAACTTACTTATAAAAAAAAAAAGATCTAAAAAATAAAAGAAGTAAAAATAATTTTTTAAAAATTTTGAAAAAAAGAATAATAAAAGTTAGAATATATATATACTGTATATATAAATGATAATAAATAATAAAAAATAAAAATAAAAATGTAATTAACTAAACTGATTAAATAGATTTTTATGAAATAATTTAATTTTAGAAATAACAGAACTAAAAGTATTATAAAAAGAATTATATAATGAAGTAATAAGTGGATTCAAAAATAAAAAAAAAATATTAAAATCAAGAAGCTGCCAAAATTACTTCATTTGAAAATTTTAACAAATCTAAACTATATAATAAAGAATAGATAAAGTAAAGTGATTGGATTTTGATTCTGATTCTGATCAGAACTCTGTGATACGCAATAGTAACAACCTGTAGGTAAATATTTCAATAGTTAGAAGGATCTGAACTATTAAAGTTACGTAATAAGAGCATCCACAGATATTTTAAACTGATCTTCGAACCTTCAAAATACAGTAGAACAGGTTCTTTTTTTATTTTTTTTTTACATAAACGTTTTGCTAAGACGTCAAAAAATTTTTTTTTAAATTTATAATAGATCTTTCATATACAACAGATTGCGCGCTTTAATATCAACAGAATACGCTCTTTAATGTACAATAAACTATTCTTATAAAATTAAAAAAATAATATATGAATAAAATTCTAATCTTTTTTAGTTATTTGAAAGACTTCATACTCATCCACTGAAAAATGTTTTGTTGAGTTTCTAATTGCTTTCTCGTAATACAGAGGAAAACATAAGCATCTACATTCGTCTTTGAAGTTTCCTACCATACTTAGATCACCTCGAAAATATGGGCCATAGTGTTTTCCTGATTTAATTGATTCATGGTTTTTTGCCCTACTAATTATTGAATTTTTCGCATTGTGAAGGTCTATTCTGAAAATAAAACTCTTTTTCGTGTAGTAATAATTTGACTCCGGCGGCGATTCCCAGCTAAACGGATTAAAACCTCCTAGAATTTCACCCGACTCTTTTACTTTTAAAACCGTTAAAGTGGGACCTTTGTTATCACATTTTTGGTGGAAAACTTCTGGTGTAAAACCATCTCGACTTCCACGAATTAGTAGCTTAAATGTATGAGGGAGGAAAGTTTTCTGTTGAGTAAATCCTTCTGGGGCTTAAAAATGTTGGAATAAACTTTACGGGATTTTTAACAATCCAATTAGAGACCACGGCAAAATGATCTAATTGAATTAATACTGAGGAATTGATTGTATCGCCGAATGAGTAATCTTCATCAGGAGTTTTAACTCCTTCACTCGAAAAACTGTCTTCTGTAGGACTTAATGAAGGAGAGTCAAAATCAGCGGTTAAATTAGGGCTTGAACTTTCGGCGTCAGACACGTCATCAACTAAATCTAGATCTGTCCCTTCAGACATCATCCCACTGAGGGTATCAAAGACCTCTTGGATTACCGGACGTTTCTCCGGATTCATATCCCAACAGCGCGTGTATAGTTGAATATATTCTTCTGGTGTACCTTCCACTGGGACTTCTCTATATCCTTTATAGATTTTAATGGTCATTTCATCTCGTTCCGCGGATTGGAAAGGAGGCCGTCCACTCGATATCTCCCAGAGAATGACTCCCAAGCTGTATATATCGGACTTCTCGTCACGTTCATATTCATGATCGGCAAGAAACAGTGGATCCATGTAAGCAGGTATCCCTTTAGCTGAGGTATTTGTAGATATTTTAGGCCCATTTACCCACTTTGAAATACCAAAATCGGCTATTAGCATCGTCCCTTCGTTAACCAAGACGTTCATTGAATGCTATGAAGAAGGTTATAAAATAAAGAGTAAGATATAGCAAGACACTGTCAATAAGTCGTGATAACATGATCTTACAAGATCCCTATGAATGATTTTATGTTCATTTGTATGTAAGTATATAAGTCCACGTGTGATTTCTTTTGCGATACGTAGTTTGTCATTCCATTCGAGTATTGCGAATTTTTTTCCTAAATAACTTCTTAAACTACCGCCATCCGCATATTGAAGAATTAAAAAGTAACGCGGGATGCGAAAATCTTTCGCAACGCCGTAAAACTGATTGATGTTAGGATGATACTTAATTTTGCATAAAATTTGAAGCTGCGATTATATACATGCATATAAATTAAATTTGAATTTTATTTCATGTACAGTACAATAAAACAAGTCAATGTTGCAAACCTCTTTAAGAAATCCGTTGATATGTTTTTTGTTGAGCTCTTCCCCTTTTAAGCTCTTTAGAGCAACCGTTAATCTACGAGTTTCCCAGAATGCCTTTTCTACTGTGCAAAATCCACCCTCACCAATCCTCTTAGAATTAATAAATTCTTTATAATCATATATAGTGATGCCATGTTTTTTAATAAGATCATCGATTTCCAAAGAGTTTTGCATTTTTATTTTTTTTTTCAAAGTCAAATTCTCAGATTCACAACCGTAATAAGTACTGCGCAAAATGAAGTAATACAGTACGTAAGTGCGATGTAACACTTGTGCGCCTATTGAAAGATACACACGTACAATAACGATAGCAACTACGTATGCATCGTACATTACCATCACCACAGCAAGAGGTTCTCGGTCGAATTTTTTAGATTCTGAAAAGGCTCTATCTGCCATGCAGTGATTACGATGATAATTTAAATTTCAGAATAATTTGTCGAGAAAAAAAAAAAGACGAAATCTACTATCACCTATCGACTTTAAAACAATCGGAACCATCAATGAATGAAAGAAACAAAATGGTAAATACATATTCAGAAGATTGTGGAACGTACACAAAATATTGTTCAAGTCATGTTTGCGTAAATATTTATTCACAAAGTTAATCGACAATGATCTTCGGTCAGACATCGAGTTTTTTTTTTTATCATCTCAAAGAGATGTGATTGGCCCTTTGGGTTGGGTCCTTGCTCAATCCTTAAATCGTATGATAATATTCCAAAAAATTATTACCATACATTTTTATATTAATAAGTTAAGGAAAAAGCTATCAAAAAATGGCAAAAAAACCATTTTTGTCGGAAGCTAATATACTGTAACTGCACGTATGAATGGGTGTGAAAAAAAAAGAGAAAGTAATTGTTGTCATGTTCTTTTTTAATTATAAATCAAGCGTAGAAATCAAAAAATAATCACGCCAAATAAATACAGTACATGAGAGAAAGGTAAAGTGTTGATGATCCGAGGATGTTTTATAGTAGAAATCAAAGGTCCGATAGTATTTTGTAATGATACAAGGGCAAAAATAAATAAATAAATAAATAAATAAATAAATAAATAAAAGCAGAATAAGTCTGTACCAATTCTTAATTGTAGCACATTCATTATTTAGTCGAGATATAGTGCTTCAACAGGCAATGATCACAAAGTGATTTGAAGAAAATTATGGATTGGCCAGCGAATTCCCCAGACCTCAATCCTATTGAAAATGTTCGGAAGGTGTTAAAGGGTAAGGTCCAAAGACGAAAAGACTTTCCACGAACAATAGACGAGCTCAAAACAGCTCTATGCGAAGCATGGTCGGAATTTGATACATCTGTTTTTAGAGAGGTTGCTGATTTAATGCCACGCAGTATTGGATAAATATTAGCAATAAAAAAAAAAAAAAAGAAAATACATGTGCATAAATTTCCGATTTGATAAAAAATCGGGCATTACTTTTTGGTGCCTACTGTACAGTACATCATTTGACCACGAGTGTATACTCAGTTTGAATTGCGGAATGCCTTATATATTTATAATTACGTATTGTTTAATCACATTGTTTTAAACACTAACCATTTTTGGGGACTTCGTAACTTATATTCTGATTACCGGAGAAATCGTGGTATTTACCACAAATTACAGTATTTCATATTTTTTTTACGTCGTTTTAGGCGATGCCTTTTGGAAATCTTTCCCGGTTGATATCAGTGAAAACAAGACCGTTGGACATCTCAAACGTGTCATTAAAGATAGAAATAAGAATGCCTTTAAAAATATCGACGATAGTGACCTCGTACTATGGAGTGTGAATATCCCTATCACTAGAGAAAACAAGGACTCTTGGAACAAGAAATTTGCAGTCCATTTCGATTCTCATTCGTTATTAATCCTTCCGGCCACCACATTAGCTACTATTCTTCTCAACAACCTTTTCGACGAAATTTTAAACACAAGTTCTATGATCGTGAACAAACTATAAATCAAATTGCAAAAATTGTCAACCTGAATCATACTTATCTCTTGTCATTTTATCATCGAGATCATTATTTTATTCTGATTCCCATTGGATCAGGAATAGGAAAATCGCGAATAGGAAATCTTAAATCTTAAAAACTTTTGTTAGACATTTTAATATTATATTTAGATTTTTTCAAATATTAAAGGAATGTCTAAAATTAGAAATTGGTGATTTATTTTTATAGTTTTCAAATTTATTATTATTATAATTATGTCTCTAGATATTTTTTTCTTTATTATGTAATTAAAGTAAAAAAAAAACTTTGGATTTAATTGTTTCTTATTAATAATTAAGTAAAATTCACTATAGTTGAAAATACAGTTTGAAACAAAACTTTTTGTCCTTTTATTTTTTATTATAATTTAATTAATTAAAATAAAATTCTAAATATGTATAATTTATAACCTAATTTAAAAAATACTTAAGTTTTGATAATAATTAATTCATAATTTTATTTCAAAAATTCGAATCAAGTTAAAAAAACGATTAAAAAAATTTTTTTTATAAATATCATATATAAATTTATATATAAAAATAATCCAAAAATAAATTTAATTAATTAAAAATTAAAAAATTTTTTAATAATATGATAAAATATTTATTATAATATATTTAACTTTTATTTTGTAAATTTAATTTTGAAAATTTTTTAAAAAGTTCAAAAATAGCAATTAAATATATACTTATACAGTATATTTTTTTATTAAATTTAAATAAATTATATGACTAAAGATTTTTTATTGATAAAAAAATTGTAAAAATTTTATTTTATATCTTTACTTTATAAATTTACTGATCAAAATAATTATAATAATATTTTATTATAAAAATTTTTTAATATATTTAAAATCAATAATTTTTAAAAAAAAATTTTTTTTTAAAATTATAATTTAATAAATTTCAATAATAAATTTAAAAAAATTTTTTTAAAATAATTTTATTTATTTTTTTTTCCTCTGTCAGGTTAATCATATATGCTTTATTAAACATTTATAGACTATACATATTAAATGAAATATTAAAGCTAATTTTCTAATTAACTCACTTATTTTGATTATATTATTTTTCTAAATATAACTTTATAAATAATTTATTACTCTATTAAAGATTCAAGTGAAAACCCTTCCAACTTTTAACATTATTGCTTACAAATCACCACTACAAATAACTCTTTTGAGCTTTGACAGAGATTAAAACCCAACCACTTCATACTATACTTTACAACATTTAGTAGAATTTTTTTCAACTTTTTGTCTTTAATTATTTTTTCTTCATATACCAATTTCTTACTAGATCAACTTTTTGTACTCTTGTTTTTTTTTTTCCTGACCCTATAGATATACTGGTCTCTTTATCTTATTATATTTGCAGATTCCTAATATCTATTTCTACTCAATTACCTTTTCATATCTTACATTCTATATTTTCTTTTGAAAGTGATTACATACTTTTTCTGTATTTTTATTAACCATCTTCTTGCCTCTTTTCTAATTCTTTTATTATAACACTTCAAATCAACTATTTTTATAATTGGATCTTTTTCTATTAGTCCTATATAAAAGCTAAGTGTATTTTGACTGGTTTCTGAGATTTTTTCTATCAATTTTACTATCTGTTCATCAATTTTTCCTATTTTTATTCTATTATCTATCATTAAGTTTAACTCTTTTTTTTCAGATTCCTTTTTCCTTTCTTTTGAGAACTTTCTGAATCCTTTGAAGACTCCTTCTATTCTTTTTTGCCATGCTTCCCTTTACTAAATCTTGTAAGTTGGGTATTCTAACAAGTATTCTATTGTTTTCTCTTTTTAGTCACACATAATGTATTTCACTTACTTATAAAGATCTGATCTTCTTAGGGCTAGCTTAATTAATATTGGTCGCTCATTATTAATCAATTTATTGAGAAAGCTTTTGTTTTGTGAGCTCTTAAAGAAAGCATTCTATGTATATCCATTCTTAAATTATTTTCATACTAGATTCAATATGTATCTGTGTTAGTTTTGAATTTGCTGGTTTCATCTTCTTTCACTTCTACCTTGAGTTATCCATTGTAGACTATTACTTTGCTATTTGTTTTTTTCATAACTTGTCTTATAGAGATATTTAGCACTATATCTTGCCATTTAATTTTTGTGATAATCTTAAACAAGACTAAGTTTTTATATCTTATTATTGGAAACCTTAGTGCTTCTTTGACAAGAGCATCTGTTTTTTCTTTATACTGAATATTAAAATGTGTCTTAACTTTGATAAGCTTGAGATCTAGCTTCTTTTTTATTATATGAGATCTAATATACATATCT